CACACCCCTGGGGAAACTCCCCCTAGACTGACCGGCCGCTTAGGACGCAGTCATGTGATCCATCATGGGAACCACCACTCACAAGTGAAGTCCAGCCAAGTTGACACATCTTCAACTATCACAGGGACCTTCTGAAAACTAATTAAAAAAAATAATTAATTAATCCTCCCCACAGACACACAGTCGTAACAGCCCTATGGAGTGTAGTTGTACTCTGAAATACATAGGGTCACGAGTTGCAATTGACTCCAAGGCACTAAAAAACCCAAATTAACCAGTTGCTATAGAATCAGTTCTGACTCATGGCACCATGACATGTTTCAGAGCAGATTGGGTCCATGGGATTTTCGTTCTTTTTTTTGTTTATTGTGATTTGGGTGAAATTTTACAGAGAAAATTCACTTTCCATATAACAGTTCACATACACTTTTTGTCTCATGACATTGACTACATTTTACCGCAATGCAACAGCTTCCCTCCCATTTCCTCCCGAGAGTTACCTCTTCCCTGTGTCCATCCTTCCATACACTCCTGCCCCCTGAGCTGTCTCCTTGTGCATAAACAGCCCTTCTTTCTCCCATGATTGTTCTCTCCAAGGAGTGTATCTACCTCAGGTAAATGTTCAACTCATATGCCTGTCTAGTGTTTGGCTAGAAGCCACAGGTGTGGGTTCAGTTCCAGATCTGAAGGGCAGCTAGTGGCCGTAGTCTCAGTGGTTCCACCAGGCTCTATCAAACTAGCAAACCTGGTCCCCTTTTAACAATTAAATTTTATGTGCTTCCAAAGACTTCTCCAAAAGAATCAAAAGAGAACCTATAGACTGTGAAAAAATATTTGGCAATGACATATCTGAGAAGGGACTTATCTCTACAATTTACAGAAAATTCCAGTACCACAACAACAAAAACACAAACAATCCAATTATAAATTGAGCAGAAGACATGAATAGACACTTCACCAAAGAGGATATTCAGGTGGTCAACAAACACATGAAGAAATGTTCATGATCATTAACCATTAGAGAGATGCGAATCAAAATGAGATACCATATTGCCCCAACACTAATAGCAAAATTCAACAAGACAGAAAATAAACACTGCCAAGGATGTGAAGACATTGGGACTCTCACACACTGCTAGTGGGACTGACAATGATACAACCACTATGGAAAGCAGGTTTTTAATTAATTCTTTTCCTTCAGAAGTAAAAAGAAGAGACAAGACAGAAAATAACAAATGCTGGCAAGGTTGTGGAGAGATTGGGACTCTCATACGCTGCTGATGGGACTGTAAAATGGTACAACCACTGTCGAAAACAGTATGGCGATTCCTTAAAAAGTTGGAATTAGAAATACCATATGACCCAGCAATTCCATTACTAGGTATATATCCTAAAGAAGTGAGAGCCAGGACAAGAAAAGACATATAAACACCCGTGTTCACTGCAGCACTATTTACAATAGCTAAAAGATGGAAACAACCTAGGTGCCCATCAACTGAAGAATGGATAACCAAACTCTGGTACACATAATGGAATACTACGCAACCCTAAATAATAATTTAGCATCTGCAAAACACCACATAATGTGGATGAACTTGGAGGACATTATACTGAGTGAAATAAGTCAATCACAGAAGGACAAATATTGTACTGGTCCGTTATTGTGAAAAGTCAAGGAAAGGTTTATATTTCTTTGTTGGTTACAAGGGATGGGAGGGCAGGGGAGGTAAAACTGTTAGATAGGTAGAGACAAGTACTGCTTTGGGCGAAGGGAAGGACAATGCATCAAATGTGAGTGATCAACACAGTGGTGTTGAGGAAGAGGAAGACATAGAGAGGTACATGGGAGATAGACAACAAAGATGAGCCCTTATGCATGTACAGTACTGTGTTGTCAGTGATAACAAACATTGATCTAGGGTGGACAGATGGGTGGAAAGGCTGAACGATCAGTTATGTATAGGCAGGGGGGAGTGTGCCCATGACCATGGATATGTTTGGCAGACAATGTTTTCACAAGCATATTTGTATGTTCTAAGAATGTTCAGGTATAGTAGAGCTGACAAAAGACAAGGCTGTGGTGACTTCTTGACCACAGCCAACTACCTGGAGGGAGCAAGTAGTTGAACCTGTGTATTCAGGATCATGGTCCCAGGTGACATCAAGCTCAATTTGGATAACATACTACACAAAAGCACTGTTCTACATTCTACTTTGGTGAGTAGCAACTGGGATCTTAAAAGCTTGCAAGCAGCCATCTAGATGCAATGATGGGTCTCTCCTCATTCAGAGCAAAGAAAATGAAGAAAACCAAAGACACATGGAAACAATTAGTCTGAAGGACTGGTAGACCATGCAGTTCTCAGCCTATAACACCATGAGACCAGAAGAACTAGATGGTGCCTGGCTACCACTCTCAACCACTCAGAGAGAGATCTGTGTAGGAGATCCTGGATAGAGTGAGAGAACAATGTGAAATGAAATTCAAAATCATTAAAAGAAAAAAAAAAGGACCACATTTGCTGGTCTAGAGCCTGGTGAAACCCCTGAGACTATGGCCCCTAGCTGCCCTTCAGGTCTGGAACTGAATCCACTCCTGTGACATCGAGCGAAATAAAAGACCGGCATATGGGGTGAAAATTTACATCAGGTAGATATACTTCTTGGAGAGATCAATCACAGCAGAAGAGAAGGGCAGTTTATGCACAAGGGAGACCACTTGGGGTGGGGGAGAGCAGAAGTGCATGGGAGAGAAAGACAAGGAAAACAGGTAACCATGGGGAGGAAGTGGTAAGACAGGTGTTACGTTGTGGGAAACTGCAGTCCATGTCATGAGACAAAATGTGTATGAACTGCTGTATGGAAAATGAAATTGCTCTGTAAACTTTCACCCAGATCACAACAAAAATTTAAAAGAAGAAGAAGACAGATACCACAGAAGATGGTACAGGTGGAAAAAGAAGAAGTAAGCAGGCATAAAATGGTACACTGAATATTATTTTACTCTGTATCAGCTTAGAAGTTTTCCAAACATGTCCCATAGGACATGGGTGGCTCTCAAAATGTAAAACTGGTGTAATAAAAACCAAATTTCAGATTCTATGGTGAAACACACATGGAAAATATTGGATAAAACATAATTAAACCAGAAACCAAACCCACTACCATCAAGCTGATTCTTATTCATAGCAACCCCATTGGGTTTCTGAGGCCATAATGTGTTACAGAAGTAGATTGCCCTGTCTTCCTTCGATAGAGTGGCTGGTGGGTTTGAACCACTAACCTTCTGGTTAGCAGTCAAATGCCTTCAGTACTGTGCCACCAGAGCTCCTTAAAATAAAATTAGACAAGTTTATTTAAAGCAGAGATTCTAAGAGCCTTTATTTGTTACCGTCAGTTGTGACTTGTGTGTGTGTGTGTGCTGTAGCCAGTGTGCACTAAAATAAAAATTCTAAGGTATAACTTGTAAAGTTTTTCAAATTTCTTTTTACATAACAGATTAATTTCTTCAGCCCAGTATCAGACAAATGTAGAGGTGCTCTGGTTGAGGAATAGATGAAAAAAAATTATTATTGAAATGAAAATAACAAATCAAATTAAACATTTGTTAATTATTATTTCACATAAAAAGAAATATACCCCATACTTACATCTGTAATCCTTCAATTCTGGTTCCAGATTATTATCAACTGTCCTTTCTATGGCAGCATCTGCCAGATTTTTTTCTAGTGCTGACCTTGCAAGGCTTGGTAAAAACCTGTAAGGATGGGGACGGGGAAGGAATGATAAAGTCAAAGCTTTCTACGATTTCTAAACATCTTTTAACACACACTCAACATATACCCTTACTAGTATTCAACTATTCAACTATTTAAGGAAGATCAGTCTGGATCTATGAAATCCAAATCATGCAAAGTTTAGAATAAAGATAAACTCCAAGAACATATTAAGATGTTTGTTGAATCTGCTTTAATACTTAAAACTCATTTGTAATTGGCAGTACTCATTTATATATAACATTTTATGGAACTAGAGTTAAAATAATTTGCTTTCTTAAGTGAATTCACCATACCCCCCAAATCTTGATTATGCATTTAACTAGCTTGTCAAATTTCCTTAAAGATAAAACAACACTTTTGCCTGTTTCAAGTTGCCAATCACCAATTCAAATAAGTGGAGCTAGACTAATTAGGAGCTCTGGTAGCATAGTGCCTAAGGCACTTGACTGCTCACCAGAAGGCTGACGATTCAAACCCACCAGCCACTCCTCGGAAGGAAGGTTGGGCAATCCTACTTCCGTAGTGATACTGCCTTGGAAACCCAAGGAGGGGTCGCTATGATTCGGGCCGACTTGATGGCAAACAACAACAACAGACTAATTAGGATTTCTGTACTTTCTAACATAAATTGCTGAATGGATTTAAGAGTATCCAGTTTGTTTCCTCCTTGTCAAATACAGCTACATTTTTATCTCTTCTGGAAACAACTTGTCAAAAGAAAACATACTTTCTAAAAAAGGAGAGATTAGCATTCTGATAAGATGGCAGACTAGGTAGAAACACTGCACAGACCCTCTTCAACAAAGAAAAGGGAAACCAATTAACACAGACACAGAAGATAATCCTGGATCCCTGAGCCTTGAAGTGAAGGATATAGAAGTGGACTAAACCCAAACTAGCAGAAGAATCTGCATGAAAATACCAAAAAAGGACACATATGGAGCTGTGGTCTGGCAGGGAGCCTGACGGCACAGACAGCTTGGAGAGTGTGGAGTGGTGGTAGTACCTAAGAATTAACCTAAAAATCAACGCTGCTAGCCAGGGACTGCACACAGGACTGTTCTGGTGGCTGGGGTATAGACGAAGGCAAAGAGAAAGGTGGGCTGAGCTGTGGACTTTTGCCTGTCTGGAGGGCACCGCCATTTTGAATGTTTATAAGTGGCTTATTTTGGATATTTAAAGAGAAAGTGCCCTCCAGATTCCAGGGGCTTGAGAACAAGACTGCTTGCCAGCAACCCCAATGACACTCCGGACCTGCAAGACTAAAAACGTGCAAAATTCTTCTTGTTACTCTCATACCCCACAACTGCTTAGTGAAGGAAGGTGTGGTCATCCCCCACTACCACCCACCTTCTGTGCCCGCAGGAACTCCATTCCATCCCAGTCTGTACACTCAGATGGAGCCTGGTTGCCCTGCCATGTCCTCCACTGATTTTTTTTCTCTTTATTTATTTGTTGTTTTTCTTTTTCACTTCCTTTTTTCTGGTCTTTAGTTTGCTTGTATTTGTTTTAAAATGACTATTATTAATAATACCTTTGTCCTTTTTACTATTATTCTTTATTCTCCCCCACAGCAGGTCCTAGTTTTCAGCTTTTTTTGCTTTTCTCTGTTCCTACTTAAAATTTATTTTTTTAATTCATTTTTTTTCCCTTTCTTCTTGTGGTTAACCACATTCCTTGTTTTTATTTTTCTTTCACATTTTTCCCATTTTTTTTCCTCAGTGTTCTCATTCTCTACCTTTTTTTCTCTTAGCACCCTGTTGTTGTTGTTGTTGTTATGTGCTGTTGAGTCGGACCTGACTCATAATGACCCCTCCTTGGGTTTCTGAGGCAGTATCACTACGGAAGTAG